TATTTTAAATACACACAAGTCATAAATAAGCATTATCTACCTTTGGGGGAGAATTAGACTTCTTTCTATTTTGGGTATTTCCTTAGGCTGGATGGGAATACTCGGTAAAAGCTGAGATTTCTCATAGCTCTTGAGACTTAGGTATAGTTTTTAACAGTAAAATTAGAAATAGATAAATATATTTTGTACAACTAAATCTGAGTACTTCACTCAATGAGGCTGATCTACTTTCGTCCTTGAAAGGAAATACAATTCCCAGTAAAATTCAGCTATCAGTCAAAAATAATCCCTTGGCTGAAATCAGATAATATCAATTAGGGGTGATGACAGAGAGAAGATTCCTTTACAGTGTGAGTGACATATTTTCATGAAAATATGAAACTATCTGTGTCCACTCAAGAGAACTCCATGGTGCAGTAGTCGCCCCACACCACCTCTGTTCTCAACTCCTCCGAAAAACCACAATGCTAAATACACAAAGCCTATGTCTACCTTTTTTCTTATCCTCCTGTCCTGCCCTGGGCAGTTCTGCCTCTAACCTTCTCTGTTCTACTCACCCTGCAGGTTCATTCTTATGACACAACTCATTGATCTGTCTCCAAGCCCTACATTTCCGACATCTTGTATCAGTGCACTCTGTTCTTGGGTGATCAATTCTTCTCTAGAATTTCTCCACTAAAATCTTCTTAATATTTAAATGCATAATCAGATAATGTGCCATTTGCTGGAGTCTTCCTGTGGGGAGAGACAAATTCTAGAGATGTTTTAAAGAAGGATTTACTTGCTGATGAAGACGCCATTAGTTAGAACTTAAGTTATTTTCATCATTATTTGGAGAATGAGTTACTGGAAAGCAAAGTGACCTTTGGCAGGTAAGGACAAGCATGGATGCAGAAAAGAAGATGCAACTTAATGGCTGAATAAATGAACATAGGGTAGAAATTGGGGGAAGAGTATATTTTGATGACATAGATGATTTTGAAGGAACAGAGATAACTCTGGAACTTAAAGAAGCACTGCAGAAAGGATACTAAGAAACAGATAAATTGGTCACAAAACAAGTTCCTCACCTAACACTATTTGGAATACATAGATAGCACCAAAAAATGATGAAAATTAGCATGATACCTACAGAATCTAGTTTGAATAAAAACAAAAGATGTCCTATTCCCAGCTCATTTACCTTCTCATTAGCGTTAATGATGATTAACATCCAGAGCAGCCAAAAAAAGAATATAAATTTGGGAATATTGTGTTTTTTCCCAGAATTAAGACAGATTAGGTGGAGATCTCACACATGTTATATACAGTTTAAGTTAGAAAACAGAAAAGAATGCATTAATGTGGACCTCATATAAAAGCGAGGTAATACAATTAAACAAGTTAAAGCTAATAAGATTGACGTTTTACTCACAATACCCAGGTAATGGACAGCACAACTCCCAGGGAATCCAGAGTTTAGCATGTCCATTGCCATTTTGTATTTTTAATACAGTGATTAAGTTTGTTCATTTTTAAATGACTCAGTATTTCTAGTCACAAATCGCTCATTTTACAGGACTCTTATGAAATCACATTTGTCTTCTGAATCTGCATTTGACATTTTATGAAGCCTTCCCTTAGGAGTGTCACTGTTTTTCCTTATCTTTCAAAATTGTACCAAAGTGGAATGTATTTCCAAATTGTGAGTAAGTGTTACAAGAAAATCTGAAGAAATCCACTTTTAGTTAGAGGCCTTTCAAACTTGAAAAAAATACTTGGTTTGTATGCAAATTTAATGCTGGAGAGAGGACAGAAGATAACCCACCGACAGGCTAGAGGAATCATCATGTTGCCAAATCCCCTCCATTTATGCAGCAGAAAACACCACTAGAGTAAAAATTAAGTGGAGGAACATCAATTCCAAAGAGCACCTGCACCCCTTATGTTTATAGCAGCACTATTTACAAAAGCTAAGCTTTGGAAACAACCCAAATGCCCAAAAATAGATGACTGGATCAAGAAGATGTGGTCCATGTACACCATGGAATATTATTCAGCAATCAAAAAGACAAACACATGCAATTTGCAGCAACATGGATGGCGCTGGAAGGGATCATGCTCAGCGAAATAAGCCAGAAAGAAAAAGAAAAATACCGGATGGTCTCACTCATAGCAGGAATCTAGAAAACTTAAATAAGGGACCAGGAAAAAGAATAACTATAAGAAAGAAAATATCAAAATCAACAAACAACTATGAACCAGAGACACTCTATGAGGGGTGGGGGGCGGGGAAAGGAGGGATTGGGGTCAAAATAAGGGGGTTGCAATTGTATGCGGAATATAAAAATAAAATTTAAATTGAAAAAAAAGATTAAGTGGAGGGCCTCCCCTGGAGGTGCAGCGGTTGAGCGCTGGGCTGCGAGGCTGCCCGCAGCCTCTGCAGCACCGGTTCGTTCCCCGGCCGCCAGCGAGGGTCCCACAAAAAAAAAGAAAAAAAAAAAGAATAAGTGGAATTAAGCTCTAACCACCCTGTGGATCCCCTTTCAGGACTGTGAACTCACTCAACAGCATCCCCTCCCCAGGGCTAACTCGTAACTCAATCAACTGTACCCCCGTTCCCTCCTTATATGATGAACCACTCACTGGCTCCACCTGCGTTGCTGGGAACTTGGAAAAATGATTGTGATCCAGCCCCAGTGCATTCCCTGTGCTGACAGCAGCATTGGAAACAAGTACCCACGGAAGGCAGGGAAAACAGCTGCTGGGTGTGTGGGGGCAGGGGGTGCGGAGCATGGCTTGATTCTTGACCCCCCAGCACCTCTTGGGACCTGGAACGTGAAGCCCTCACTTCCCTTACCTTCCTTTACCCCTTCAAAAGTCCCTGCACTCTTGCCATTTGGGGAGCTGGTCATTTTGGGGGACCAAGTCCCCCAACTCCCTGTGTGGCTCTCTCCAATAAAACTGTTTTCTGTAAAGACAATTCTCCTGACTCAGAGTTTGACTTTCTGGGCACAAGCAAAGCTCTGGTTTGGTCTGTTACAATTTCTCCTCCACAAATGTAAGGCAGATGCAGATTGTGAGGAACAAGCCGAGGATTAAATACTGTGTGAATGTTATACTTACATTTTAAGCCTAGTATTTCTGGAAACAAATGGTGAGGCTGTAATTAAACTTGTAAACTTTCGGTACATTTTAAAATAATCATAAAACAAAAATCCACACATACTTTTAAAGCTACAGCCCCAGTCTAACACCTCAAATTTAAATTCCAAAAATACTGTCAACACCTTCATTTAAAGAAAAGTTCAGCAAATACACACCTGCTTTCTAAGGTCAGTTTAATTACTTCTCTATCTTTATAGAATTTATTAGATGAAAATTTGGCAAATTTTAAAGTAGTACAAACAGATACTGCAAAGGAAGAAACTCTTTCCCACACCAGCTTTGCTGGGTTATCTTTTATGTCATTATTTGTTACAAGGAATAAAAAATATACATACAAGTAGGCTTATATATACATACAAGTAGGCTTATTATTTTCTGATTGTTACCTCTTTCTGTTTTTTTTTTTTTCCACTATTTAAAAAATACTTAGTTTGAGGGCCTCCGTGGTGGTGCAGCAGTTGAGCGCTGGGTTGTGAAGCTGCCCACAGCCTCTGCAGTGTAGGTTCGAACCCCAGCCACCGGCAAGGGTCCCACATGGCACAACAGACCTCTCCTGCCATGCCTGCTGCTCCCCTCGGTAGTGTACTTTGTCAGTCTGCCTGTTCTGTCCCCTGCTCTGGCTCTGGTGAATTCTCTCACCCTCCCGTGCTTCTGACTATACCCAGTGCTTGTATACATAAATAAATAAATAAATAAATAAATAAATAAATAAATAAATAAATCTTTTTAAATAAATAAATAAATGGATAAATACATAAATATATAAATAATACTTTGTTCTAATCTAGACTGGAGGAAAATAAAGTAGAAATTCTCATCAGCCAGTCTCCCTCCACATCCTTCCTTTTTACTCCAACTGGAAAATTTTTCTGCAGCTAAACAAGAGACCTGCCTCCCAAATGTGACTCTCCTAGGGATCTACCCAAAAGACACAAAAACAGTGACTCAAAAGCATACCTGTACCCCCATGCTTATTGCAGCACTATTTATAACAGGTAAAACCTGGAAACAACCCAAATGCCCATAAGCAGATGATTGGATCAAGAAGATGTGTTATATATCCACAATGGAATATTACTTAGCAATCAAAAAGGTAACATGGATGGAGCTAGAAGGAATTAGGTTCAGTGAAATAAGTCAGAAGGAAAAAGAAAAATATTGGATGGCTTCACTTATAGGAGGAATATAGGGGAACAAAATAAGACAACAGAGGGAAAAATATTAACAATACAAACACAACGAAACAAATAGAGAATTATAAACCAGAGACATCCTGAAGGGGAAGGGTGGGGAAATGATAATGGGGAGGGAGGGAGGAGCCCAGGGGACTGAGGTGATGGCACATGGGTTTATTGGAGGAGGAAATTTTATGGGGACTCAACCTAAGGGGGGGAACCAAACATTTTATATATATTTTAAAATATATATAAATAAATAAATTAAAAAAAAAAGAAATGTGACTCGAGAAAATGAATGAAGCTCGCTGGTAAATACTATGATACAACAGAATCACTCAGTGTGCAGAGACAACATCCTGTAGCTTCAACCCAACACGAAGGTGGAAGTAAACTCCCCAGAGAAAATAAAACGACGCACGCCAGGACACTGGGTGTGGGCAGACTGAAAAGACTCCAAATTCCCACTCCAAATTTTCACTCTCGATCATGCATTGATTTTGATGGGAACATATGCTTCTAGATTTATTTAGCATTAAACAACAACAGCATTTTTATCACTGACACATTTTATCTAAACTGCTAAACTATAACAACACATACACTCTTTTCTTCTAGGCCTTCAGAAGCAGGTTCCTCAGCTGCTCCCTAAGTGTCCATTTCCCAGTGCTGGTTTACCTTAGAGCATGTCCCCTTCTTTATTCTTCTGGAACCTTCTAAACTGTAGGCAATCTGTCAACTCCAAACAACCATGTGATGCCTATGTGTTCATTTCCTTCCCCCGTTCACTGTGGTTATCCGTGTATCCGGTCACAGTTTGTGTTTTCTGTTCCAGAAATAGAAGAATGCCAGGGAAATGATATTTCTAGATGTTCACTTTAATTTGACTACAAGGGTGAGGGACTTTCTGTCAAATGACTTTTCAGGTTAAGCACTGTCAGCTCAGCTGCTGCCTCACTCACTGGTATTTAGATACCAGAGGTGTGGCCACATGCACACTTGGAGTGTTCCAGAACTCAGAAAGCAGAAGTCAAGTTTTACAAAAGACCAAGGGAGCTCACATGCTCCATTACGTCTAGACTGAGGTTGGTGCTGCTGGCCAAGGGCTGGTGGGGAAGGATTAGCAACTCATTAAGAAAATGGGTGCAAAGAGGGGGCCTGGGTCTTAAGAGCCGTTCACATCCACTTTGGAATCTTTTCAAAACATGAAATAGGTTTTGAAAATTCGAAAATTAAATCTTTGATCTCTAATGAAACAAAGCCCCTAATTTGTTCGTTTATTTATTTATATATATTTTACATCATCGTTCATTTTTGTGCAATGTATGCTTTCTCCTCTCAAGTGTTGTCCCCGTAAAATTCCCACCACCCGTTCCCCTGGGCACCATCACCATAGTCCCTTGTGCTCTCCCCTCCCCGTTTAGATCCCTCTCCCACCCCGTCCCCTGCAGAATGTCTCTGATTTATAGTTGCCTGTTAATTTTATTCTTTTATTTATTATTACTATATTTTTGTCTGATCCCTGATTTGGTTCCCCTATATTCCTCCTAAAAGTGAAAGCATCTGATATTTTTCTTTTTCCTTCTAAAAGCCCCAAATTTGGATTTCTGAAAGGGATTGACAGTGTTATGTGAAATGGAATTTAAAGATTTGTTTCCAGACTTGGAGTAGATGCAAGGAAGTTCTTATATAAAGAGAAATGAGTGGTGGGCCTCCCCTGGTGGCGCAGAGGTTGTGCACTGGGCTGCAAAGCTGCCTGCAGCCTCTGCAGCATCGGTTGGATCCCCAGCCACCGGCAAGGGTCCCACATGGTGTGCAGACCTCTCCTGCCGCGCCCGCTGCTCCCCTCAGCAGTGTATTTCATCAGTCTGCCTGTTCTGTTCCCCACTCTGGCTCTGGTGAATTCTCTGAACCTCCCACGCTTCTGACTGTACCCAGTGCTTGCATAAATAAATAAATAAATCTTAAAAAATAAAAGGGAGAGAAAAATGAGTGGTGAGTCTAAATCCTTACCAAACATGGGGGACCTCTAGGGCACATGTCACAACTCCAGGAGAGGCTCATTGACATCCTACAGGGTCAGACAAGCAGGTAGTGCGTCAGTGTATGACTGAGGAGCACCAAGGGACCCTCCAATTTGCATGCTACACAGGAATCTGGTCATCTATGTACACAAAGGCAAAACCAACTCTTAGTGTTATAGATCTTTAGTAGAATTAATGCTCATAGAGAAGAGAGGATATTTTTTTCCAACAAAACACCAAATCTACCTAGCCCCTTGTTGGCAAATGCCAGCCAGACAGGGTTGACCAGAAGCAGGGCAACTGAGGCCCAAGAGCTTGCTGAAGTCTAAGGCACCTTCTGACAGAGAGTAACAAGAAGAAGGAGGTGAAGCAGGTCCTTAAGAGCTGGGGCAAAGGGAAAGAAACAGGATTTAAATATAACAAACAATCTACCATGAAGTCAGGACAACATCTGCCACTCTCTCTGCCAAGGCCCAGCAGAGCATCTGCTCCTTATATCTATCTCTACCACTGTGTCTCTTCCAAGTGACTCTGCGTGTCTCTCCCAAGTCCCTGGGTGCAAGTCCAAGCTGAAAAAGCCAAAGTCCAGGCCCACCTGCCTTCCTTGTTCTACAGTCCATTCAGCACTGCCCCTGTCCCCAGTAACTCCCCTGCTCAGGAAGTCCAGTTCATGCCACACTGGAGTTTGTTGTCCAATATGGCTGCATGGAAGAGGGGGCTGGGGAAGTGGTGCCCATCCAATGTTCTGCAATGCTCCCCCACTTTCATGCACATGGCTCTCTAACACTGTCTCAGTGTAGACCACACCAGTCAGTCAGTGCCAGGCTTGGGAGTTCTAATCACAAGCAATCCTAACACTAGATTTTAACTAATCTAGTGAGTTCCACACCCTTTGAAATTTAAAATCAGACACAGCACACCAAAACCAGTAACAAGAAGTCTTTTAAACATGTCTAGATCTATAATTTAGTATCTCCTTTAAATATCACTGGCAGTAAAAAAGAGACATAGCAAGCAGAGGGTGTGGGTTAATTGAAAGTTATAAAGAAGTCGTTGAGTGAAAAGTGTTAAGAGGGAATGAAAGCAATTTTAGATGGTGTCAGTCACTATTTTGTTTATGTCCTCCGTGTTCGTTCAATACTTGTGCAGTTTCTTCTCTTCTCATTTTCTTTTTGAGTGCTTGAATGTGCAAGATTCTCTGTATTATTTACTATCTGGTTTTCCTTAGTTCGTTGCCACATAAACTGCACCTGATTTAATGTTTTTAGTACAAACTTTTATTTTTTTCCAAACGAAAATCAAGCCATCCTTAAAAATGCATTCCTTGTTTTCTAGAATCAATTGCATACATAAATACTGTAGCAAGCAAAAGAAGTTTTATCTCCCTAAGGCTGGAGACACTTGGAATGCCAGCAGCATCTGTTTTAGAGAAGAAAGAATAAAATGAGAATGCTGGGGAATTACTTTTGCTACATTCTATTGTACAATAATTGTCTAGCTTGGTTTTAAAAAAACAATGCAGGATTGCAAAACAACTATTCACATATCCATATCTGAAAATTTCAATGACAATAGAATGCCATTTGACAAACAAAAACCCTAGGTTGAGGAAGTGGTTAGCACCTGATTTGAGACCAGAACAGAAGTCTCTGCATGCTCTGTTCTGTTCTTTTCCTACTACATTTCACTACCTCTTCTAGTAAGCATTGATGTGGAAGAGGTAATTTTGTGATATTTTAAGGATATTTTTAGCACCAATAAAAGCTGAAGTATGATGAATCTCAAATGAAAATAATTTTAGGAACATAGACATAATTCTTGTTATCATTTTCACACAGATATACCTCATTAGGCTATGAATGAAAATCAAAGATGGGTCTACTTCTTTAAAGTTGCTGGTTTAGGACAAGAACTTACGGATATGGATGGACGGACTGACAGACAGCGAGAAACAGATGCAGCAGCGAGGGTCATTTAGCAAATTGTGTGTTGTAAAAGGGGGCTAGAAAGTAAGGAATAGGAAAGATTCATGTTACATGTGTTAAATGGGTTTTTTTGAAGGCTGAATTTAGGAAGTAAATCCATATTTGAAATATGTACTAAAGTCTTGATGGCCAAAAAGAAAAATATATAGACACAACACACACGTAACGAACTTGATTAAACTTCTGCAGCTGTCAGTGATAGATTCAGCTGAACAAAGTCCAATTTTGTTGTGTTGTACTTAGCCATTTTATGACGCAGATTTTTTTTTTTCTATCTTGTAAAATTTACACTGGGGACTTAGTTCTTTGACCACTTAGACCATCTCAGAAAATTCTTTTGAAAGCAATGTAAACAGCACCTTCCATTTCCTTCATGAAAAAAGGAGATCAGTCTCCTGCTGCCACACACCAAAAAGAAGTCCTAGAAAGAGTTCAGAGTCACTTCCAATGCTGTGAGCATCAGGATTTTCTCACTCTGGTGTGATTCATGTAGGAAATATTTCTTGAACATTAATGCTGCATTTAAAGTGCTGCTTTACTTTTTGTCCTTACATATAAAAGATTTTAGAATGCCTTCTATGTTGTCTCTTTACCAAATTATAAATCGAGACACCATGTTAGCAGTGAAGCAAATACAACCACTCATCCTTCTGTTGTGAACATGACATCTTCTCTTGCTAAAGGATTTTAGAACCACTGGGTAGTTGCATGTTTTAACAGAGGGACATAGCAGTGCTCTAAAATGCCCTTGGAGGGCCTCCGCTTTGGCACAGGGGTTGAGCTCTGGGCTGCGAAGCTGCCCAAAGCCTCTGCAGAGCCTGTTTGATCCCCAGCCAGCAGCATGGGTCCCACATGGTGCACAGACCTCTCCTGCCGCACCCGCCGCTCCGCTCAGCAGTGTATTGCGTCACTATGCCTGTACTGTTCCCCTCTCTTGTTCTGGTGATTTCTCTCACCCTCCCGCGCTTCTGACTGTACACAGCGCTTGTATAAATAAATAAATAAATAAATCTTAAAAAAAAAAAAAATAAAGTGCCCATGGATGTTTTGCTAAGATAGTTGAGCCACTTTATTAGTGTGATTAGCACAAACACTGATAAATAGGATCCACCAAAGCAGAAAAGCCCAGTTCAGCCTTTATCTCAACAGTCTTTACAAAATGAAAGAAAAAGTATGATCTGACAGTGCCGATATTTGCACCTGCATCTAATATCACAGACCGAACAAGGAAGGAGTAGAGCCACAAAAGGGGAGCTTGCAAGAGGGATGGCCAGAGCTGGTCCTCTTGTAGACATGTAAAAAGGCAGCAGGGCCAATGCATGATGTTTGCGTCCTTTTCCTGCAACCTGACAAAGGTGAATAAGGACGTCATTCTCTCTCAGCACATCTCTGCCACTACCCTGCACTATACCTCCGCGTTCTGGCTTCACTGTCTCTGAAAAAAATGTTCTAATAAGATTAGTCACAAAATCACAAACTTATGAAAGAAAATTACCACTCCATTAAAGTAATTTATGGGATCATCTGCAGAAGAGCCATTAGATATGGCAACCATAGTGATTGGACAGTATTTCATATTGTTAACAGGGTGTTGTACACGATAAACTCTCAGTAGAAGCAGCTATAAATTGCTTTCAATTCAAGTGTGATAAGGCTTCCAATGATCACATTATAAGAGCACCAGTGTTCAAAATTTCATCTGTATATTGAAATTCAAATGCTTTGCCCTGAATTTCAAGGATCCTCACTCAGTGAAGCTGCAGAAGATCCCCTCCATAGTCTTCTCTCTTCTCTATTTGCTTCAGAGCTAAAAGGCCAAAACTCATAATCCCCCTTTCATCTTCTTTTTAACCACGTCTAAATAGACGAACCCATTTAATTTTAAACTGCTTTGTGCATCTGTATAGCCTTTGTCTCACCTTTTGAATCTCTGCATGTCACTCCATTAGCTTTAAATTATCTTGAACTGTACATTAAATAAGCTGTTACTGGTGGTACAATTTTATATAATTTATACATTATATAAATTGCAATGTACCTAGATATGTTGCAAGTTGGAATCTTCTCTCAGCCTGAAATGAAATAAATAGATGCGTGATTATTATGAGGAAGTTTTTTAACTTCTCGAGGCAAAGGTGTTATTAATAAACATGCTTTCCTCTGACAATCATTAACATAATTATCATCATCTCCATCATTATCACATCATTAAATATTTGCTTCATGCATCATGTTCCAATTTAATTCTTGTAGTTATTTTATGAGATAAGCATTATGATCCTTATTTTACACATTCAGTACCAGTCGAAGACGGGAGTTCAAATGTCACTGCACAAAGGAATTTGATTATATATGCAATGAATGCAGTTTTCTCTAATTTTTATAAAAGTTACAAGCAGATTTAATATTAATCTACATTTCTAGGTACTTGGGTCAAAATTATCTTTTGTGCTAAAGAAGGTCATAATGACAATTATTCATCATTGCTAGCAAACATTTGAATGAATTCATCAGAATGTGAGCCTGTAATTTATCAGTCTCCAGTCTGTCCACCAGAGATTCTGGCTTAAATTGTAACTGGATGGTTCAAATGTGCAGCCAGTCAAAAAACACTATCACAACTGGTCATGACATGACTCACATGGCTGGAAGCAACCAGATCATGATGTCAAACCCACTAGATGTGAGCACAGTAGCTATGTGGCCTGCAACATGTTCATCTATTCATAGGACAGAAGATCCAACATATATGAACTTGAATTACTCATGTGGATGTGGGGATACTGGCTGTACAATGTTTTAACCATTTCATTCCCATGTGGGGGATAGTTTTACAAAACTGGTATTAGAGAATCGCCAGGAGTAGCATATTACTTTGACATATTACCTTATGGTCAGATGAATTCCAGAAATCATGAACCTTGGTAAGAGACGGGTTGTAGTATCCAGAAGAAAACTTGAGAGCAAGTGACTATCATTAGAGTTTGACAGAATTAAAAATTATGGGAAACCTAATCCCTAAATATTTATTTTAGCCCAGGTTCTAAAACTAAGCAGCTCAGCAGATGAAGTAATGTCATTGTCTTCTCTGAGTCTCAATTTCTTCTCTTGATAATCAGAGGCATTAAATTAAATAACAGCTAATATTCTTTGCATTCTGGGTTAGATGGTATGTATAGTGATCAATCTTTCAAAAACTCAGAATTAAACATCCTCCAATACGTGGACCATCTCATGGAAATGTATTATTTTTGTATGCTTTTTTTATTAAGTGTATTTAACTGTAGAATTTTTTCTTCGCCAATTATTTGCCATTGCCATTTGTGATGCATAAAGATATACTTGTTATACATTTCAATAGAAGATAAATTAATTCATCCAGATTCTAATATGTAATAAGATGGCTATGGAGAAAGGCAGGAAATTGTGAGTTTTAAAACAATGAAAGCTCAGTGGAGGCTTACTCCTTACTCTGGGGATAGTAAGTGCAGAAGAGAGTCAGAGCAGGCAAGTCCTAACTTGATAGTGAGAGACTTGTTAGACCTGAGTCTCTCATTACACTTTTCAGACCTGACAGTTTCATGTTAACAATAATCCATGCTTGGTTCTAGGAAGGCTGAATATGTCACTATAAGCCTGGTAGGAGAGACTTCTGTGCTCTTTGACTAGATTTCTGTCTCCACACAGGAACTTTGAGACATTTTCAGGAGGGGAGAGATGGGAGGGAGGCAAGGAAGAAGAAAGCCAGGTAATATCAAACTGGAGGAGAAAGAAATCGTAGAGTCACAGATAGTTACACAACAGATTTTGAGGTTATTTTATGATAATATATTGTTTTATGAATTCTCCACAATTAATTAATTAATTCACAATTAATTCATATTAATTTCAAGCATCTACATGATACATACAAAAATCAATCCCACATTAGGTCACAGAGAGAAAGGCATTGCATTCGGAGAACTAACATACAGCACACACTTTGCAAAATAATACTGAGCTATCTCTAGAATCACAAATGAATGGTCAAATGAGAAAAAGGAAATGATCTGTGGAGTTCTTGAAGGGTCTCTCATACTGCATCATCAATGCATATCCAACCACCTACTCAGTGCCAGGCTCGAGCATCTTCTCTGCAGCTTCTCTCCTTCCATGTCCAAGGAGAAACAAGCATAGGCCCTTTGGAGCTCACGGAAGTCACCAGCAGAATTTACACATGTGCCTCTAGCTCCTATCCCAGTTCCAATTCAGGGTCAGCTTTTTTTTTTAAGATTTATTTTATTTATTTATGCACACAAGAACTGGGATACAGGGCACAGGTACAGGGGGTGAGAGGATTCACCAGAAACAGAGTGGGGAGCAGAACAGGTGGATCTACTGAAATCCACTGCTGAGGGGAGCAGCTGGGAGACAGGAGAGGTCTGCTGTGCCCTTTGGGTCAGCTCCCTGGCTGGGGATTGAAGTCAGGCCACAATAGCTTAATAGTGCTGAGATTTAACCCCTGCGCCACCAGACAAGCCCCACTGTCAGCCTTTTTTTTTTTTTTTCCCTGTACAAGAAAATCAGCAAATATGTTCAGCTACTCAATTCTGCCCCAGTGGAGAGAAAGAGACTTAAACAGCTCGGGCCAGAACTTCACTTGCTCCTAAAATTTCCTGACTCCTCTCTAATGAAACCTACTTTCCCTCCCAATCAGAACATGAAGGGCAGCTCTTATTCATTACTCTCGAATTTCATACACTCTCAGCAGAATTGCTTCCTTCATAACTTTTTAAAAATGTGTTTTATTTAAGCTAGATTGAAGCTATATTAGGGAGTTATAAAATGCTTGTGGATAGACCTGGGAAACTGACCACCATAATCTCAAAAGATTAATTTCATGAGAGAGTGTGTGTTGAATTCAAACATCCCCTCTGCTGCAGCACATTTCTGGAATATGACATGTCATTGATGTCATCATTACATTCTTATTTTTTTGATTTTGAGCAGAACTGACAGAGAAGCCATCATTAAATAGAAAAAAATGACATTATTTGCAAAATAAAAGATAATGGAGTATATTTCTATGCTTATATCTCATTCAAATTAGGGTAGTTCTATGAACCACTTTATTACAATTATGAAGTATTTACAAATATGCTCAATCTTGCTCTTGTTTTTCTTTGAAGTCTAATGTTTCCAAATTGTCTTTCTCCAACTGCAAAGGAGGAATCATCAAGATAACCAAATTATCATTCTAGCCATATCCTTTTCCTTTGTGAAATATTCAGCATTTCCAGCCATCCCTCATGAAGTACATATACTCACCTCAGAACCCATGATTCAAGTTTTCAGGAAGGAGGCAGACATCCTTCTTGGGGATTTAATTCAGCTTGCAATGGAGACCACAGAATGGAACGCCCCAAAATTAAAACATATTCCATTGTAACCTAATTCTCCCCTTAACCATCACCAATTAATTAATCCCTAAAGTCATTCCCCATGTTAGCGTGGTTCAGTCTTTTATTTCCTTGGCATGTGGGACTACTAAACAGACAATTCTTTGTTGTTTGGAGTCTACTTATTCTCTAATATACTTATTTCATAAGCTCCTAATAGTGCCTGCTTTTTAAGTTAATTTAGAAAATATAGGCTCCATTTCTGAGACATGATTGGGATTCTTAGAATACTGACTTATCCTCCAGACATTTAATTAATAGATTGATCAGTTAATACTTAACATGTAGACACATTATTATATTAAATAATCTGAGAGTTGCAACCTCAGTACAAGGTCTAGTTTCCCCTAACTTATAGCCCATAAATTTTTCCTTCTAGGCAAGGTGAGAGGCTGGTTGCGGGAGGAAGCTGTAACTTTTCTGTGCTTTGGATACTGGAAG